TCTAAAATTTGGTAATGTCCTCAGCCATAAGCATAGTTATTATTTCTCCCTATGTGTTTGCATTTTAAATTTCTGATTGAATAAACAATTGTGGAAATATTACCAGGCCTAGCTTCATTCCCTGAATTGATCTTTGCCTGCCAATTGAATCTAGGCACATCCTAGGGGTACAAGCTGGGTTTCACCCATCAGGACCCTTTCCCTTAGACGTTGGGGCTTCCTGGAATCACAATTCTTATAATTCCCCTTATTTGATATCTGGACTCCCGCACTTGACTCTTTACTTGTCAGGTTCTGTGGGTGACCCCAGCAGACCTACTTTCCTCTGACACTCTAGGTCCTTATTTATTTACATGACTTTCCTCTGAGCCAAACGGTACCTTGGAGGGCAGCAACCACCATGTTTTACATCCATAATGTTGATCATAGAGCTTGATGCATTGATTTTCAGAGGACACACACTAGTCACCTGGCTTCTGGCCACTGGCCCAGGTTTCACTGTATGTGAATTTGAATGTCTTTGGGTGGGTGTGCCTTCTATTGTTTGTGATAGTCTTTGTTTTTTTCATATGAGATCACAGTCAAGCATTTATTTTATGAGCCTGATCTTCATTGGCATCCTCATTTGTGGTCTGGTTGTAGCTGCTAGCATATGTTAGTTATGTGAAAGACAAAAAAAAAAAAAAATCAATCAATGTGCTGCTTATTGCTTGGAGGCTTGATTATTACCCTAATATTACAGTCTTGAAAATTTCTCTATTTTTATCTCAGACTTAGGGGAATAAAAGTAGACAGAGGTAACTCCAATATACAATGTACAAATTAAAAAATTTTGAAAACATGTCAGAAGTGGGCCACTCAGCATTCTAGCAGCCCAATTAGAGAGAAAACAAGTTCACTTCTGATATTTGCAAAACCCAGAGGATGCAAACAAACCAGCCACCATGAGAAAGCCTAAGATTTCTGCTCTTAAGTGACAACTTCAACTTCAGATCATTTTAAAACACACACTGCAATTTTAAGAAATAGACCCTAACCAACAGTCCAAAAGCAAATTCAACAATCTGTCTCTCAAGGATGATTCTTTATATGCCCATCACTATTGCCAATGGTGACACATTAGATATTATTCAGTAAAACAATTGAGCCCACAGTAATTTTGTATAATAGGAATCTCTCTCCTGGATAAGGTATGGGGGGGAGGTTTTGTCAATTAGCTCACTGGATGGAATTTAGGACATCAGATAGAAAACAGCTGATGCTAAAGGAGTAATCTTGAGCAAGGCAAATATTCACTTCAAAAAGTAAATTTCATTATGCTTTATCCATCTGATGCATGTGAGACTAATTCTCTTAAGATACAGCTTTCATGTTTCTTATAATCTGCACTTTTGCAAAGCAACCAGTACCAGATGTTCATCTTGGCCATAAAAAAATTTCATCCAGTAAAAGGTTAATATCCATAAAACTTGAATGTTGAACAACTTACTATCTGCAAACATTTTTTAGCCAATCAGCTTGTGTTAAATATATGTCTATGTATTTGAAGAAACTTGCTACATAGAGATATCATTAAAGTAATTAGATGCTGGTGTTTGTTTCCATAAAAAAGATTTTATAATAAGGCTTTTTTTCCTGAGTAATCAGAAAACAAAATGCATTTTCAGTTAGGGCCCCATTTTTGTTCAGGAGAGTGAAGACTGCAGGAAAAACACATAGCTAATAAGTGACAGAGTCAGGTCATAAGTGAGCCACTAAATTTGGTCTTCACACCTGCCACTATAAAAAGGAGATGACATGATGATTATACAATAGAAAAACAAAAGAACCTGAGTAAATATGATAACAAAGACTATTTGCACCATCAATAAAAGGAATGCCCCTTTTCTCTATACCATGTAATGAAGTGCATAAACTTCCTTATAGCACACACTAAACATCTGCTACTTGGACAACATAATAAATTTTGCCTTAACCATCACATTTGTTTCGCCTCCTGGTAGATCTAGATCTACATGTTTATGTCTCAATTGTTTTTCTTCTTTTGTTTTTATTGGCTCAGAAATGCTGAGAAGCACCAATGAAGAAAAATATGAGGGATGCTAAGTGCCAAGAACTTGTATCACAGCTGGCATTGGTAGCAGAGTTTAGACAGCTTTCTCTTGGAAATTGAAGGGACTTGTCCTCTCAAGAAAAACCCTTCATTCTCCACTTGGAGCTAGGCAGAATTGCCTGCATGGTCAATTCTGGTAGGATGATACAAGGTGGTCCTTTGTGGTTCCCTCTGAGCAAAGAAGAGTCAGAATTCTAGCTCCTATGCATGTATACCTAGGGTATTCTTTCTGTTAGAGAAGACTGCTCCATTCCCATCATCACAGATTCTGGGTGACTGCAGCAATTGTAGCTTGCCTCATTTAAACTGCTCTGGCTCATTCAAAGCTAAAACAGGAACAACAACATTGCTAAGATACTTCCACTGCACTGCTTCTGAATGCACACAGAATGTATCACATCTCTGGTGCTGCAAAGGATGTGATGCAAAAGAGTACATGGGGAATGCAGAAGACATCTGCCATTGAAAATTTAAAAAGACAGGCACTGTTGTTAAATAGTCATGCAACCAAATATGCACTAAGATGTAAAAGCAATTTTGTCAGGAAGTAGGAAATCTCCACCTCAGTCATCACAATGACAACAGTGCTGTTTCTTGAGAGGCCAAATACCTTGTGAATTAGGTGAATTATGAAGGTCAGAGGGAGAAGGTTGCCTATTGTAAATTCAGGAAGTATTTATTATTATTATTATTTTTTAAAGTAACAACTGACATCATTGACAAGTGCTCATAGTGTAAGACTTGGATCAAAACCTGTTTAAATTAAAAAAAATTCAATAGGACAATAGCATATTAAAAATTGATCAGCCACATACATGAGCCCAGCTGCTGTTCTAATTGCTGCTGTGGTTATGCAGCAAACTTCAACTAGTAAATGTGACATTATTATTCCCTACGTGAAACACACTGCTAAAGGAGGCGTGTAACATATTGGGCTAATTAAAAGACAAAAGAGACCCGAAAACCCAAGGAAGCTGGACAGATGAGTTCCTTGCGTGTGGTGGGGAGAGTATAACCATAGATATCTGTTTCACTTTCTGTAACATTTAATGATTGCAAAATGCTGGTAGTCATTTTTTACTTGTGGTTGGGCTGCCGGAACCACAGAACAGGAACTTCACCAGAGCAGGAGTTAGAGGGAAAAAGCTTTTAGTGTGGGATGGCTTACTATTTTAATTCATTTATATTATTAGTCAGCTTTAAAGGTATGGTTGCTTCTTCTCCTGCATTGTTCTTTTTCTTCTTCTTTTTAGACTCTATGTTCTCTAATTATCTCTCTTCACTGGGAGGGAATGTAACCTTTAACACATTGAAAAAAAGTGTAGATTTTCCATGGGCCTCAGCTTGCTCTGACTTGGCTGGGAACTTGATTCCTACCTTCTAGCAGGTTATTTCATGGTTCTGAGGCTAGTTCTTCACCTTAAAGCAGGGATATTATCAACTGTTTCACAGGTTCATAAAAATTAAATAAGATTGTTACATGCCAAGCTCAGAGACTGGTGCAAAGTTGTCTTCCTCAATGACAGCTATAAGTGGGATTTTTATGCACCTCTTTTTCTACCATTTCTTCCTATAGTCTGTTTTCTCAAATTTAAACCCATTCCCTATCCTCTATATTAGTATGTGTTATCATTTAGCTAAACTTTATTAAATGGTTACTGTGGGCCATCACACTGACTTCATTATTTCTCTGAATATATGTGAATATATTTCAATCATAATTGATTAAAGGGAAAATTGGAGTTCAGAGTAGTTAAGTGAACTCTCCTATTTACGTGATTAGTTGCCCAGCAAGGATTTGATTTGACGCCTTTCTGATTCCAGAACCTAAGCTCTTAATCTTCAGTTACACCAATTAAACTCCTGTCAGTTCACAGACCTCCCCATTCCCAGAACAATCTATAAGATGCCTGGTTTTGTCTCACACCAGCCTGTTTCTCTTGTATCTAGTTTCTTTTTCTTTTTTTAATTATTTTTTTTAAATTTATATGACAGAAGAATGCATTACAATTCATATTACACTTACAGAGCACAATTTTTCATATCTCTGTTAAGTTCAAAACTACTGTTTTTGGGACTGAGTCCTCAAAGCAGGCATCTAACCTGCATGTCTCCTCCTAAGCCACCCAACACCTGGCAGAGCATAGAATCAAGGCTCAGTAAACTCGGGCTCATGAATAGATAGGAAAAGGAACTGACCAAGCACGAAATGGTGCAAACTGCAATAAAAACAAAAGAACGAGGAAGGAAGAAAGGGAAGTGCAAGAGTAACAAAAGGCAAATATTTATGGGCCACCTTAGTGGCAGTAATCACAAGAGTCTTTGGGGGCCTCTGGGAATACCCAACTCGCGGGGCCCACAAGTCAGCCTTATTTTTATAGATGAGGAACCAAGATTCAGAAAGCATATCTCTGTAGATTTGAGTGACTGACTTCCAACCTCAATCGCTCACGCGTGGCACGGGTTTAACAGGCCGCCAAGCTTGGAAACCTCTTTCTAGAGTGAGGGCGTTAAAGAGAGAACCGATTTTCTGTCCGCTGATCTTTTAGGGACCTGCTGAAAGTACCAGCGAAGACAGGTTTTTAAGAAACGACCTTTGCAGGTCACATTTATCCTTTCGGACTTTTTGGACACACCTTCCTCTTCTTGTAGCTCAACCCAGACGAATGATTTGCAAGTAATCACTGTTTCTACGCCCAGCCAGTACCCAGCACTGAGCCCTGGCGCCTTCACCTAACACCTGGCAGAGCAGCCCACAGCTGCGCCCGTGTTACGCTCAGAGGCTTCTCAAAGGTGACGCACGGCCGCCTCCTCCCCTTTAAGGCGGGGCTCGCAAGGGGGTGCCGAGGAAGTCCCGCGGCGCTCCGCGACGCCCTGCCCTCGCAGCGTAAGGGCTGCTCCCTAAGCTCGGGAGCAGCAAACACCGCCACAGCCACAGCCACGGCAGATCCCGCGCAGGTAAGGGGCGCGTGACTACCCTGCTCTGCAGCCCCTGGGACACAGCGTAGGACAGGTGAGTGTGGTGCGGGGCTCACCTGGCAGCACAGCGGGTTCGCTGCCTGCTCTCTCCTAGGGGTGGGCGTCAGATCTCAACCCAAGTAGGGAGTTAATAGACCTTGAGAGTCCAGGATGGGCATGTAGCGGAGCTATTGCCCTCCCTTGTAGCTGCTGGTTCAGCAGTGTCTTGTGGACGGCAGAAATGCAAAGCTTGGAGTGCAAAAGAGCCCATGAGAGGAGGGCAGCCTGCTTCAGGATTTCTTTGCATTTTAAAGGCGAGGCATTGGGTCTTCCCCAGGCGCAGAGGTATTAGTCACTTCTCTGTCTTGGCCTGGAATCTCTGTAGAGGTCATTCCCTCCCTGGGAAGGTTTTGATGTGCTCGCTTCCTGGAACTGAGGAGATTCAACTTAGGTTCCTTGCGTTGACGTTTATCCAGTTAAAGGAGAGCAGAAAACTCTAGGTTAAGAGCAAAATTTGCAGTCTTAAATATATTACAAGGAAGAAGAAAACTATGATGTCGATGTTACTTTAAAGTCGTTTATTTCTACAATCAGTACTTTAGTGCACTGTTCATTTGTTAGGTAGTGCTACTGATGGCTTTAAAATGATTAGATTTCCGTAGAATGGGTTTTCTTTGGTCTGATTGAACTTTTGTGCGATGTCTGAGGGTTTCAGCCTCCTCTGGATGGTTATGTGAGTATGCTCAAGTGTGCTTGGCTGGGCATTTATAGATGCCAAAGAGCTGCTTGGTGAACCTTGGGACCTTAGAACACTGGTTTCAGTGACATGCAGAATTCAGTCACCATTTATTGAGGGATTTTAAGGATTATGCATTCATGTTTTAACTTGAATCAGCAACATTTGAATTGAACAAATATTGGTTGTATGTCTGTTAAGAGCAAACCTCTGCTGTGCTGTTTAGTAGTACAGGTGTTGACCAAAGGGGCAATTTAGGGCATTTATTCCTTACAGGTGGGTGTTAAGAATAAAATTAATGGCATGTTATGCTTTGCCTCCAATCCAGCATCTTATTATATGCTGGTAAACAGTATCTAAGTGCAGGGAAAATGTAGTTCTTTGACTGTATGGGTTATTAGCTTGATCACTCATCCACAACAATAGGAATTATGAATTATTACAATCAACTATGGGTCTGAAAGTGTAGCTCAATGGTAAATCACTGAACTAACATGTTTGAGACCCTGGATACCACCCCAGTACTGAAAAATAAAATCAATCATGTGCCATGCTAAACACTTTGTCTTATGGTTTAAAATATACAAATAGATATTACTTCCCTGTGCAGATGAAAAACTGAGGAAGGGAGCAATTCAATAATTTGTACAAAGTAAATGACCCAGGAATTGAATGTGAATATATCTGAGTGCTATTTTAATTTGATATTCCAAGCAGCTGTGACGAGAGATAGTATAAATCTGACAGATTTACTGGAAATTAGAATTCAAATTTAAATTCATAAAATTCACCTCCTGGGGTTTAGTTTGTCATAAATAATATGAGCATTGTTTTCTTTGTACTTGTGTGGTTACTATGACCTACCTGAGACAAGTAGATAAATAGCTGTTTTTTTCAGTTTGTTTTCAAACTGTGAAAATTTTTAAAGTTTGTCATGTCTTTCTTAACATATTTTTAATGTACTAATATATCCAAGTGGGGTCAATTAGTGAAACTGCTATTACAAATTGAATGAAGAGTTGATTTTTATTGTATTCACATGCTTTAACATATTTTAACTTGTTTTCTTTCCATGCCTGCAAAGTGACTAGAAACTACTGTTGTTACCTAGAACAAACTGTGTGTAAACCTATATTGATCAACATATCTAATATTTAATTAATTAATTTTAAAATTTTGATTCTTATATTTATTTTTAAAGACTATATTTATTTTTCCTCAAAGTTATCTTAAGCAATATAAGGAACAGCAATGGCAGATTTAGCAACACATCCTAAAATTACTGATTTGTTTTTGGGGTAAATGATTCATAACAACTGATATCTTAAAGTGCAAGTAAATTTCAGAAGTGATTCTTAAATTAAAATTATTACATTGTATAGTATGAGAGTTATACTATCACTAAGAATTTATAATATTTCCTGACATGAAGGACACTTGCTTTCTTGAAACTGTCTCATAATGGTTTGTGATTACACTCAAAAAATCAGAGTTTAATATTTAAATATTTGGAGATGTCAGTGGTTAACTGTTGCCTGTGTGGAGAGAATCAGGTAGAATATCTTACCTGGATCATTCTTGGCATGGATGTGTGTGTGTGTGTGTGTGTGTGTGTTTCTTTGGTAAAGAAATCAATAAGACACTTAAAATGTTCTATAGGGGATGTTTATAAAAGTGTTCTTGGCTTGGTCTGGTATAAGGGAAGGAAGAGAGTCAGGATGGGTTAAAATTTCAAGAAATTTCTAGAAAATCCAAAGGATCAAGGAGCAGAATATGTAGAAGTGTGTGAAGCTGCTGATGCAAGCTTTGTGACTCCTGGTAGGTAAGCAATTTGGTGGCCCTCTTTAAAAAAATTAATAAAAATTGGGTATAAAGGTATATATTTATTTAAAAGGAGAAAAAAGATTTTAAAAATTCTTGTGAGAAATATATGACTTTGCCAACCAAGATCTTATTGGGCAATTCACCAGAAATGTTTACACAGAAATGCTTCCTGATTGCAGTCTGGCTTCTCCTCTCCTGATAATACCTAGCATCTACCAGCAGCTTGTTGTTCCCGTGGGGGCCCATGCTGATGAAAAGCCTAAAGCTGAAGCTCTGTTACTTTCAAAGAGAGGGAAAGTTGTGGTTGGAGGCAAAGGACTCCTGGACCTTGGAGCAGAGAAGAGACTACTGGGTGGGGTAGCCGAGATCACTGGCTCCACAGGAACTCTGGGCACTCCTGTCCAGTGAACAACTGGGATCTGATCTCTAAGACCTTCCAGGTTATTGGTTCACAGCGACGTGTTTGGCCATTGGCTCTCCAGAATTTCTAACAATCACTATTTATTGAAGATCTTCTGTGTCTCAAGTACTAAGTAAGGTAAAGTCCTAATTGTTAGGGACTCCTAGTCTGGTGGAACTGATTTCATTGACCACAGTGCATTGCATTGTTTTAAGATTCTGCATAAAGTGACCATGGGAGCTGTTGTTTGGCTTTTGATGCTCAATCCTTTTGGAGATATTGGTGTACTTACTGAGATGGAGTCCAGGAAGGGCATTCTAAGGTGGGCAAAAAGCCATAGAAAGCCCTGTGGGTTTGTAGCTGCCTGTTGTCCTCTAGTAGTAGTGTTAGTATTTCTCGCTGTTCCTCCAGAGAAGCAGCATCTATATACCTGAGATTAATTTGTTAAACATGCATGTTCTAGCCAGGTACCATGTCGCATACCTATAATCCCAGTGGCTCAGGAGGCTGAAACAGGAGAATGGCGAGTGCAAACATAGCCTCAGCAGTTTAGCAAGGCTCTAAGCAAATCAGTGAGACTCTGTCTTGAAATAAACTTTAAAAAAAAAAATGGCTGGGGATGTGGCTCAGTGTTAAAGTTCCCCTGAATTCAATATCTGCTACTAAAAAAGAAAAAGAAAAAAAAAAAGATGTTCTCAGGCCCCATTCTGGAGCACAGAAGAACAGAAGTCTATTTTAAGAAGCCACTGGATGATGCTGGTACATGCTAAAGACTGAGAACCATTGCTTCTAGAGTTTAAGAGAACTGGTTGGGCATGGAATCCCTTGGGAAGATTGAAGGAAGGAAGTAAAAGTGATATTATATTATTATAGTCATACAGGTTAAGCATCCATAATCTGAAAATCATAATTCCAAAATCCTCCAAAATCTGAAAATTTCTGAGTGCTGCCTTGATATCATAAGTAAGATGCCATGAAACTGTTTCATGCACTAAATTATTTAAAATGTCATGTAAACTTACCTTAAGGGTATGTGCATATGAAAAAATTAAGAGTTTTGTGTTTAGACTTGAGTCTTATCACTAAGAGATCCCATTATATGTACAAATATGCTAAAATCTGAAAAAATTCAAAATACTCTGGTCCCAAGAATTTCAGATAAAAGAAATTTTCTACTTGTAAAAAAAAGTAATCTGTATTTCTCTCACTAACGTGTATTGAGCACCCATGCTCTGAAAATATTAACTCTTAATCATCAGCACAATACCAAGATGAGGCAGGGCTCTTGACACTTTTATTTAGATTTGAGACAACTGAGGCAGAAAGCAGCAAAGACAATTTACCATGGTCACACAGTTGGAAAGTGACTCAGTCAGGATTTAAGCACAGGAAGTCTGGTTCCAGAACTTTCTATCTGGTCCTACTTCATGCTTCAAGTTGGATGTTGGCATTGGGCAAGAGGTCTGGAAGGCAGGCTGAGACTGTTTGGGACACACCTTTTTGAACAACCCTAGTCATTTCCTGAACACTTAGTTTTCATGAGCTTTTCTTTAGGAACAAATTCTCAGATTTGAAAGAAGAAATGTTGTTATTCGACTCTAATGCAAACTTTAAAAATTTCATGAGTAAATGGACATAACTTCATACACATGAAAACCATGGAAGTGTCTCTCCTATCACCTTATTATCATAGGCTCATTTGAGTGCCCCAGTGAAGTGCCACATGGATGATTGTGGAAGATGGCCTTGTTTAGGATGCTGAGATTTAGTCTGGATATTAACTCCCTCTAAATGCTATCCTCTTTCCCTAGCCACAGAGCAATTCCATGTGATGTTGTGTTTATCCCTTATATATGGGCAGGCATCGAGAAGTGCTGGGCCTTGCATTTTCAGTATATATTTTTCCTGAAAACAAATTCTATACATTTCATCACAGGATAACTTCACAGTGTCAGGCAGCATAAGTAAGACTGTATATGGATTAATGTAAATGTGGGAGCTTGTAAGTGATGATTTGCCCTTGGGTGTGAACTTCAGATTACTGTCTTCACTTTTCCTACCGAGATGAATAACTGGAGTTAATGGTGAACAGCAG